AAAAGCACATTTTGCAGCTGAAAGAGCACTGCAAAAAAAAACAAAAAACCTGTAGCTCTTGTCACTGATTCTGCCAAATTAACTTGAAACAAAACATGATGAGTCTGAATTAAGATTGATAGAGATCTCAGGGCTTCAGCATTCTTAGAATCTCACAAGAAGGTCATAGCATTTGAGGCAAATATCAGTATCAAAAACCTTGAGAATTTTGCTGCTTCCCTGCTTAATTTATTCAAGTGCATCCAACATACAAATGATCTTCCAAGGGTCCTCTGGTGCTGAGGAAGCAGCTCAGATCCACAAGAAAAATGCTATTTCCTGATGTATCCATCAGATTTCCTGTGTTGCTCACTGTTAAAAAATAGCAGGTCTGTCTTAGATCTTCATGCAATCTCCACTTTTTCTACTTTTAGAAGAGGACTCAAGATTCTCTCTTTATCCGGGAGAAAGAAGATTATATTTAACAGTGAACTTCTAGAACTGACGTGAAATGGAATCAAGAGAACTCTGGCTGGCAGACCCCTTCTTAGAAAGATTTCTCAATAGAAGAGAAATACGGTCGGTGGCTGTCACCAGTTAGGCCATATGTTTCAAAAAGAGCTGGAAAGTATTCTGCCTTCAATCCAGATCTATGGAAAATGGAGCATAGTTGGATTTCCTGGCCTGCAGCTTGGATGTTTTTAGGCAGGTCTTCCATATCCTTCTGCTTTGTATATTCTTTTTATTCTTTCTCTTTGAACACACTAAGCTACATTTCACAGAATGCATGGAATGTTATAAGCCAGCCACTTGTGGGAAGTGAGTGTTAAAACTGTGAAATGAAGCAAAATGTGCATCTTGGAAATAATGATATTAGATAACAAATTAGAAAATTACCTAATAGTGAAACTTGGTTTCTTAAACAACTTTGCTTAATGATAAAAATGCTCGGTAGAGTTAAGCTATCACAAACAAAATTAATTAATTAATTAAGTGGAGAACCTTGGACAAAAAGTGACACCAAAAGCAAATAAGGATAAATTCACAATTGTTTTAACAGTTTATATTTGGTCAGACCTGTGGGAAAACATACTGTATTATATAGTATAAGTGAAAAAACAATTCTTCTAATTTGCTAGTTGCCACACTTCATAACCAAATTTATGTCTTCTAGCTTGGCAAGCTCTGAAGAAACCTGACATCCAAAATGAATCTAATATTCATTTGCATTCAAGAAAACGATGATTTTAATATTTTCATTAGAAATGATGGAAGAGGCGGGCAGAATTCAGCAAGGTCTTTGGGCAAGGAGTTCTCTTTTCAGAATGGAACCCTCATCCTTTGCCATTGCTACTGCTGACCAGGGATGAAGATAATGGAAGTGGGGTGGGGGAATTGTTCTTGACATAATTTTGAATTCAGCAAGGACTTAGTACGGAGAAGAGCAAGAAACAGGAAGAAGAAAGATCTAAGAATTGGTACCATTCCCTTGCAGGTGTCAGCCTCTTTGAAAAGGTGGGTGGGGAATGTTAATTTATCTGGCTGTTGCAGAGTTTAAAAGGCAAGCAAAGTTGTGGTTGGATTGGTGGGTTTTTCTTTATTTTTCACCCAGAGGAACAGGAGACCACTGCAATAAAGCTGATAGGAAGAGGCCTCCTTTGCTTATCAGTTTGGCAGTGGGGAAATGGGGGAAGAAGAGCAGTGGGAGATAGGGAGGATGTTCCCCATCTACATGTGCCATATTCTAAGCCTCAGAGAACTTGCCCACCTTTTCCTCTCAAGAGATAGCTGCTGGGTCCATGCCAGGATTACTTATGTATCAGTGGTGGGATTCAAAATGTTTTACTACTGGTTCTGTGGGCGTGGCTTGGTGGTGTGGCATGGCTTGGTGGGCGTGGTAGGGGAAGGATATTGTAAATTTCTCCATTCCCTCTCCATTCCTGGGGTTAACGTCATAGCCCAGAAGATCATTGGTTTCCCTCCACTCTTTGGAAGAGCTTTATAGCCAGAGGTGGGATTCAAATTTTTGAACAACAGGTTCTGTGGGCATGGCTTAGGTGGTGGGTGTGGCTTGGTGGTCATGTGACTGGGTGGACATGGCTTGGTGGTCATGTTATTGGCTGGGTGTGGCCAACTTAATATCACTCACATTGAGGCATGCATCTTCTGGCCTGGCCTCTCAAGACTGTGGGGATGCTGCAACAGTTGTAAGTGTGAAAAATGGTCATAAGTCACTTTTTTCAGTGCCATTGTAACTTTGAATGGTCACTCCACACAAGCAAAGTACCAGCAAAGGAGGGGAAAAAAACTCCAGAGAAGTTCCTGAGACAGGAAGTCTAGTCCTGCCAAGAATGTAATAAGGGTTAACAGAGAGGCAGTTTCTGTAAGCAACACCAGAATGTTTCCTTCCTACCTTCCTTACAGGATTAGGCCAGTAATTTCTTCTAACAACCGGTTCTCGGAACTGCTTAGAATGTTAACAACCGGTTCTAGCAAATAGGTGCGAACCTGTAGAATCCCACCCCTGTTTATAGCTCCTGCTGCCTTAAGAAAGTTCAAAACATTCTCAAAGATCCATCTCATCCTGGGCACTCTTTTTTTTTAACTATTACCATCTGGCAAATGGTACAGGATAATAAATCAAGGACAAATAGGCTGAAAAACACCTTCTATCCCAGGGCAGTAACTCTATTGTATTCTACTGTATAGTGCAATATTAATGCAATATCAGGGGTTTTCAATTCAATGTATAGAATGTGAAGGATGTGTGTTTGTGTTTATATTCATAGTCATAATGTACACTGAAGATGGTATTTGATTTCGTTGTACGAGGTGCAATGACAATAAAGTAATCTAAAGTAAATATTACTTTTGGTTATGGAATAAAGACACTACAAAATCTCCATTCCCTCCCCACCCCACTAACCTGCTTTCCAGCTCCGTTCTCCTGTGCGGGGCAACAAAAGAAGACCCAGCCAATCAGCTGGGACTCAGGAGGCAGAGAATAGATGGGGGCGGGGCCAGTCAGCCAGTATTCCGAACTACTCAAAATTTCTGCTATCAGTTCTCCAGAACTGGTCAAAACCTGCTGAATACCACCTCTGTTATGTATATATTTTAAAATAATCAAATCTGATTGGGGAATGTGTAATTCTGTGCCAGACTAAACGCTGTACATTAAGAAGAGTGATACATGTTTGTTTGCCATCTATTCATCAGCTGTTTCCTGACGGCCAGACTTCTGGGATGGAGCAATCTGGTGGCTATTGTCATCAGTTCCTTCCTTTCATCTGTCTTTTAGTAAATGCTGAAATTCACAAGTTCTTCCTCTTTTTTTCCCCCACAGCATCTCTGCGAAACTTCTAAAACTGTTTCTCAACCTTGACGACGTGTGGACTTCAACTCCCAGAATTTTCCCATGGACGGCTATGGAATTCTGGGAGTTGAAGTCCACACATCTTGAAGATGCCAATGTTGAGAAACACTGCTCTAAAGCTGGGCTATTGGTTAGTTAAATCATTCTTACCCGGAAAATCATGTACGTTTTGTTTCCTGCAAGTAAAAATGCAGACTTGTTTTGGGATCTGCCTTTCTCACTGTAGGGTTTGTTCTTAAAGGAGACATGTCATCTTCTTTCACCTACATCTCTTCCAAGATGATCACAACCCTTCTGCATTTATAAACCCTTCTTACTGCAATATGTTTTAATTGGAAGTGGGCATTTTTAAGCCATGGAAAGCAGCAGATTTTTTTTTTAAAGTTGCTGTTCTCAATATGCTGAATTTTAATCCCTCCACTGTCCTTTTTTTTTTAGCAGGCAGGTTATAAACCAGGGGTCTTCAACCTTGACAGCTTTAAGACTTGTGAATTTCTTCAACTCCCAGAATTCCTCCTCCACTCATGTTAGCTCAGGAATTCTGGGAGTTGAAGTCCACAAATCTTAAACTTGCCAAATTTGAAGACCCTTGGTATAAACTGTGACTTCTGGTGTCTTATTTCCTGCTATCATGCTCCTTCTAGTCATGAACATGAGACAGTACAAGATCATGACTATAAACAGGACATAATAAAATGAATAATGAATGCAGGATTCAATCTGAGTTAGTCATCAGAATCAGAGATTTATTCTTCTAAGTATTTGGACTTGTGCTGGAGCCCATCCTATTTATTTTATTATTTATTTGATTTGTCAATCGCTTACAAGATAATAGGTATATGTATAAACATAGTTATGAATACATGAAATGGATACATATAAGAAAAATAAAAAAGAAACAATAGGACAAGGACGGTAGGCATGTTGGTGCGCTTATGCAGACCTTATACAGACCTCTTAGGAAAGGGGTGAGGTCAATAGTAGACAGTCTAAGGTTAAAGTTTTTGGGGTTTGGGGAAGAAACCACAGAGTCAGGTAGAATATTCCAGACATTGACCCCTCTGTTGCTGAAGTCGTATTTCCTGCAATCAAGTTTGGTGCAATTTAACCTTGAGTGTGTATCTATTGTTTGCTCTATTGTTGTTATGGTTGAAGCTGAAGTATTCATTTGCAGGTAGGACATTGCAATGTATGATTTTATATACTATACTTAAGATTGGACCGAAGGCGGCGTAGTTCTAGGTTTTCTAGGTCTAGAGTTTCAAGTCTGATGGCATCAGGTATTCTGCAACGAGTAGAGGAGTGGAGAACTCTTCTTGTGAAATCCTCGAGGAACTTCTCTCTCTCTCTCTCTCTCTCTCTCTCTCTCTCTCTCTCTCTCTCCCTCCCTCCCTCCCTCCCTCTCTCCCTCCCTCTCTCTCTCTCTCCACATTCTGGAGAGAGACAAGTTCCTTGAGGATGGGCTGCAGCACGAGATTACAATCATAGAAAATACCATTTTCATCAAGTTTCTCTTCCGCTGGTTTGAAAGCTTTGGGTATTGAGTAGGAAGAACAACAGCCCTCTGCTCATCTGCTATGGGAATTCTGAATGGTGGGATTAAATAAGGCAGCATTGCAAACAACAGCCTCCACGTTCTTCCCAGGATTTCATACAAGCGGGAGAGTCTGACGCAGAGCGTTGTGCCCCTCGGCCAGCGTTGGAGTATCGTGGCTGCCTTCCCAGTGAGATCATGGATCCCCAAGGCAAGCAGCATATTTTGGAGGACAGGCCTCTGAAAGATAACATCTACCACGAAAACATCACACAACTGTCACCCCAAAGAATAGCGCTTCAGCTTCGGCCTGGTAAGTTGGGGGGGGGGGAAAAAACCCTCCAGACTCTAAAGAATCTGCCTGATCTGAATAGCTTGCCAGTAGGAATGTTCCTCCCATTCCTTCCTAGGCCAGATGCATCTTCTTTCTTTCCTTCCTCCCTTCTGTGCCTGTAGGAAAGGAACAGAGTTTCACTGTCCGCTTCAAACGGGCTGAGGGTTATCCTGTGGACCTCTACTACCTCATGGACTTGTCCTACTCCATGAAGGATGACCTGGAGAAGATCAAGCAACTGGGAAGTGACTTGATGGCTGCCCTGCGCAAAGTTACTACCTCAGTGAAGATTGGTATGTAGTCAAAACTCTGACCGGGGAAGCACAGAAGGAAAGGCATCATAGGTCAGTGCAAGCCTTAGAAGAAAAGATGTAAAAAGTATTCCCAACAATACATGAAAACTAGAACTAGTTTGACTTTGGACACATTTATTTTAAGTAGGCCAGGCAGCAGAGGTGGTATTTGGCAGGTTCTGACCAGTTCTGGAGAACTGGTAGCAGAAATTTTGAATAGTTTGGAGAACCGGCAAATACAACCTCTGACTGGAGATTTGCAGTATCCTTTCCCTGCCACGCCCACCAAGCCATGCCCACAGAACCGGTAGTAAAAACATTTGAATCCCACCACTGCCAGGCAGGAAACATTAATAGAATCTTGCATGTGTGAAACTACAATTCTCCCACCATCAGTGGGGGGATTGAATCTTTTTTTAATACCGGTTCTGTGGGCATGGCTTGGAGGCGTGGTGTGGCTTGGTGGGCATGGCAGGGGAAGGATACTGTAAAATCCCCATTCCCTCCCCACTCCTGGAGGAAGGTTACTGCAAAATCTCATTCCCTCCCCACCCCACTAACTTGCTTTCCAGCTCCGTTCTCCTGTGCAGGGCAACCAAAGAAAACCCAGCCAATCAGCTGGGATTTGGGAGGCAGAGAATAGATGGGGGCGGGGCCAGTCAGAAGTGGTATTTGCCAGTTCTCCTAACTACTCAAAATTTCCGCTACCGGTTCTCCAGAACTGGTCAGAACCTGCCCAATACCACCTCTGCCCCCCACCCTGACTTTAGGACTGTGAGAAAGAGAAAATGGTGGGAATCCATGAGTAGCGTTGCAATGTGTACACAGGCTGAGGAAGACAGAAGATCTTTTTCTTGCAGGATTTGGTGCCTTTGTGGACAAGACCGTGCTGCCTTATGTGAATATGGTTCCTTCCAAGCAGAAACATCCCTGCCAAATCCCAAAGGAGAACTGCCAGCCGGCTTTCAGCTATAGGCATGTGCTTGCTCTGACTGAGAACGCCAGTGAGTTTGAAAGCAGGGTTGGTCAGCAGCACATCTCAGCCAACCTGGATGACGCAGAAGGAGGCTTTGATGCTCTCATGCAGGCAGCCATTTGCAAGGTGAGTGTAGCAGAAGCCCTGAGCTCACAGTCTTCAATAACTGTGGAGCACCTGCTGGCAAGGTACCTCCAACCCAGAGGTTTGTAACCCTCTGGCCTCTGAGGTGCTGAAGTGAATTGTGTCCATGTTGCCCTGTGCTAGGAAGAGCAGTAAGAAAGGTCCCATCCTAATAAGGCTTCTCCATTTTCACAATTTATCCAGGATTCAACTTTCAAGGTAAGGGCTGCTAAACATCAACTGATTAATATCATTATTAACTTTTCTAACTTGTCATAACCAGCAGAACAGTCCTGCCAGAGCAGACTAAACTATGAGTTAAGCAGAACTTATTCTTTTTTTACTCAGTTTCCATGGATGGCACCTTAATCCCTTTCTTTTCAGTGCTGAGAGAGAGAATGAGAAAGAAACCTAGCTGCTTTTTCTATACCATGTCAAACTTTATAAACTTATTCCCCCATTATATGTGATTTCCCCCAAGTTTGGTAACTGCTGATATTTTAATACTTCATTCAAAGTTTTGACTATTTTTCCCCACAACAAAATCAGGACATTCTCAAGGAGTTCCTTCCTTCCCACTTGCTCTCAAAGAAAGAATTATTTTGATATTTTTCCTGTGGAAAATAATATACCTCCTTCCTTACTCTGGATAGCTCTTAGGCTTGCTAAATCTATTAGATCAGGGGTCCCCAACCACTGGGCCACGGACTGGTACTGGTCCGTGGATCATTTTGTACCGGGCCGCCTACTTTGCTTGGGCGCCGCCATCTTGTTTCGACGGCGCTTGAGAAAGTGCTTCCAGGTGAGCTTGTTGGTCATCGGAAAATGGCATTTGAGTGCTGAAGGAATCCTCGCGCCTTAGTTTCATCGAAGGGGGGGGG